TCAGCAGGGAAATCATGAGTGAAACTAAGCTCAGAAGAAGAGAGAGGTGGAGAGAAGATGTTTCTTCAATTTGGTTTTATTTCTAATTATCCTACCCTGATTTGATTGGTAATAAATTCAATTAGCTTTCCTGAGTGAGGTTTGTTTTGCTTGTGGTGGTAACTGGGAAGTGACTTCCCACTGTCCTTATCCATGAGCCCTTTTCTTTTTTTTTAACTCCCCATGCCATATGACGGCAGGGACAGAATAGCTTGGGTAGGCACCTGTCATCCAGCCACAATCTACAGTTTTATTGGATCTCTACTTGAGTCTTATTTCTATACAGTTTGATCAATTTTACAGGAGGAAATAACTGGGAGAGTGTCTAGAGGGAATTGCCATACTCATTACCTAGGTTGCTAAACAATTCATTTAAGCCCACAGACTGGCCTATGGAAAGTCTTGTGAGATTCTCTAGACTCTTCAAAATTCCCAGATGAAGAGCTTCTTGAAATAATCAGTCAAATACTTCATTTTGTATGTGTCTTGGACTTTCACATCTATCAGATGTTTCAAGCCAGTCCATTTTCTTATCTACACAGAATTTGGCACATTCCCAGACTACCTAGGGAACGAATGACTTGATACACTGGATATGAATATAGGCATAACTCTGATAAAGAGCTACACTACAGTTCTAACTGCAGAATAACTTGATTTCCATACTTAAATCTCTCTTATAACTCAAAGCTTATAAATCTCAAAGCTTTTGCTACACTAAACCTGCTGGCTTTGGAAACAGAGCAATGACCCTCTGTCAGGGAGAGGATTTAAGCCTAAAAGGCATCTAGTTACATTATGAAACATAAAATTTCACCACTTGTCCTTCAAAACTTCTCTCAGAGGTATTTGACTATGTATTTCTTATAAATGCAATAAGTACTAGCTGTGATTTTAGTTACCTTTTAGATAACTTAAAATGTCACTGTCACTTTTTTATATCCTTGGCAGGACTCAGTGACGCCTTTTTTATAGTAGTTCTATCAACAAATAACTTCCTTTTTATCACCATGATATGTTCTTTTGGGTGTCACTTGCTGATAATTTTGCACTTATCTTCTTGGATACTTTTGAATGGAATAATCAAGTACACATTTTTCTCAGAGCATTGTACGTCTTTGAACATGCAGTTTATTTCTTTTCACCATTCTTTGCTCTACCAGGGAGCACAGGACCTCAAAAAGGAAGCCTGTCTTTGTTGTTCATGTTCTTGTTTTATTCTTGTTCAGTGACATGAACAAATTGTATGAAAGCCCTAAGGGGTAGACACAATAAACAGTATTCAATCTGCAGAGAAAAATCAGTTCAAGAGGACCACAATTAAATTAATAATGCTGCTTACATGATGTACCTAAAGAATCGAGAAGATAAGATTTAAAACTTTCAATATCTTCCAGTGAATATAACCATCAACAGTTGATCTAGCTGACTTCCTCTATAAGGCAGTCTGAATACTGCTTCTGAATTCTGAATTGAGCAACCATTAATAAGTGAAAACTGTAATTTTGCTTTCTTACATGTTGGATTGTATCATATTCAACTCCTTCCAAAAGGTGCCAAACAAAACACTTTAAATTCTGATTTGGTAGCTTGGCTAACAGACTTTGTTTTTTGCTGTACCATTTTCTATATGGATTTTCTTCTTATACATCAGACAAAAATGTACTTGTCTAATTTTTTTATATGAAATAAAATCTTACTCTGTTTGGATTTTCTTGTGTTTCTTCTTTATTTTTCATTATCTCTTCTGGTCTCTTTCCTATTTATTTTCCCTTTAAGTGCCACCCTGTGATTGTGCTCAGTGGGCTAGAATTTGGTGCTAATAATATCAAGGTGGTGGCTTCAATTCCTGTTACAGGCCACTTATTTAAGAGTTGAACTTGATGATCCTTGTGAGTCTCTTCCAACTCAGAATAATCTGTGAATCCTTATCAACACTTTCTGTGAATCTTTACTTTGCCCATCTCCTGGTTTCTCATATCTGCATTTTCATTTAAACTACCACAGCTATTTATGCAACAAAGCTAATTCTATTTGACTGTAGGAGCTTGACCTGTATCTGGGATATGTTGGAAAAGGTTGGTTTTTTTTTTGGTTTTTTTTTTTTTTGGTTGGTTTTTTTTTTGTTTTTGGTTTTTTTTTTTTAATTGGACAGTTCAATACTGTCATTATTTATTTTCTAATCTGTTTTCTTCAAGAATTTTGCTAACTCTGTCGTCCAAATTTGTATTTGACAGTATAAGATCACCCCACTGAAAGTGATCTCTTGGAACTGAAAGACTCTTAGCACAGATAACCAGGTAGCCATGTCAAGTAATCCTTCTCATAAACTTCTTTTCTGTCTTTCTCATATAAGCATTTTCATTTTGTTAATAATAAGTTTCATTGGCTCCTGTTAGAAAAAGTGAAAATACACATGTAGTACTTGTTCTTTATTTCTATTACATTTCTTCTTAGGGCAATAAATAACAAATCCTAAGGGATTTTAGGATGTATTTATTTGATATGAAAAAGCCAAGAGAAAACCAGCACCAGCCTGTGAGTTTTAATTTTCAGTAATTTTGTCTGCCTCTATAAACATCCAGCACAAATTTTCTTTTCTACAAGATGTCATAGCTATTAGGTTTGGCCTAATGCTAATTTAAAGTATATTATATTCCATTTATTTTTATGAGTTTCATTATACAAATACTGGTTTTGATTTTATTTTCCTTTTCATCTTAATTCCATTCTGTTGGCATCTGCTAACACAGCAATTTCCATTGACAAGACATTCAACAATGCACATAAGTGCATAAAAGTGAAATTATTGCAATTGACATTTGCCATATCAGACATCAATATTTCACTGAAAATTTCTTCACTACCTCAGTAACCATCTTGAATTAATTCTTACTTTTCTCAAGTTTTGTATTAGTGGTTGTTTCATTGTATTATTTTCCTATGATTATTGCTAATGCATTTTAATTTGAAACAGCATTAAGAAAACGTATTCATTTAATCCTTTATTTATTGAAATGATACATAACAGTTTATCCATAAAAAAGAACATAATTTGCCCCACACCCTAGGGCTTTTTCTTTTTCCAATACCTAAGGGGATTTCCTTTTAAATACTTGGCTCAAAATGTTTCCTAGGCCATGGAAATTTAATAACTAGTTCATTAGAGAAATATATCTTGTAATATAAAGTTTCTGTCTCTCTCAGTCACGTCTCTTTCTGCAAACTGAGAGTTTTAACCAAGTAGACTGGTGGAGTTAGAGAAAAAGGTTTCTTGGAGGTGGTACAAATGAACAGTTGGACTGAAGAGTTGTATTTTCAACTACAAAATTCACTTAACTAAGATAAAAGGGCATTTTGAAATTTAAAAATTGAAGTTACAAATGCTTCTGTTTCTTATTGAGAGATAGTAATTTTTTTGTGTTGTGTTGCAAAATATGGTGACATATTCATTAACTGCTACATTAAATAATTCACACTATGCACACTGAAAAAATGTACTACTGTAAAAGATAGACAAGAAAATATGTTTCAGAAATATGTTGTTTGCAAGTTGTTTTAAGGGCTCTTTTAGGGATTAACTGGGGAATATTTTTTGAGATTCAAGAAATAATTTAAAATGTTCTTAATCTCCAAATCCACTAGTTGCTTTCCTTAGTTCAACATTTCAAGGCATCAAAATCAAATTATTCAAAGAGCATTTTCTCTTTTTTCTACTTTTTTGCTGTAGCAGTTAAAAAGTCTGTTCCCTCTTTAGTTACTATGTTAAATTACATTATGTCAGGGAGGTCATTATAAATTGTCTCTGAAACTCTATTTTTCATTGCTTATCTTAAGAATGGAATTTTTTTTTTCTTCATGAAAGTACGGAAGCAGAGGGTAAAATCAGAACCTAAGAAAGACAGGGAAAGTTAGCTAATTTCCCCTATAGACCCACTATTTAAATGTCTTAAGGAAGTCAGGTTGAAAGCTGAAAGAGTCAAAGAACTGATATAATCAGTATATCCTGTAGAACAGGAGCCCAGAGGACTATAAAAGCTAGATAAATAAAGGAAGTTGCTGGAAAAGAAAATAAGAATGTCAGATCAAGTTTGTATTATTCTTCCTGAAGTGTAGTTACATGATGTGAATCTAATTAATGACAGTTTAAATCTGCAGCATGAAATAAAGATTTCTGAAGGCAGTGAAGCAAACGGAGTGCAATGCTATTATTTCTTGAATTTCTGCACAGAAATTTGAGGCACCATAAAACAGATTTAAAACTTCAGAGACTAATTAGATCTTCAGTAGAACTTCTCATGCTGTGCTTATTTTTAAAGCATCAGTGTTTTACATCTAAGGAATAAAGCAATATAGTTTTTTATTTGTTTGTTTGAGGTAGGTTTACCAATAGCTTTCAAACATCTGGGAAGCAGAAGCACTTGCAGCTAAGATTTCATTGATTCTATGTTTAACCCAGCTTAACTGTTTTCTAATTTTAATGCCAGTAAGAACATTAAGGTTGCAAAATGAAACCCTCAGATTTAGGAAATGTCAGAATTAAGATTGCCCATGCAAATTTTATTTGCTAGGATTTATGAGCATACATTATGATATAATCTTTAGTTTTTTGATACAATCTTTAGTTCTTCCACAGGACACCTGCCTCACTCAGGGCACATGCTTATAGCTTAGACAATTTTCCAATATTTCTCTTTTATCACTCAATATGTGGCTCTGGAGTGTATTTACCACATGTTATCTTAACTCTTAATCAACTGAAACATGATTTTTGGCATCTTGATTTTTTTTTTAGGGATTTCATTACTAGACCAGCTGGTACTTAAAAAGCATTAATCAATTTGTCATCACAACAATATTTTTAAAAATTTTTCAGGGTGCATCCATCTCATTTTGTCCCTTACCTTTTTGTCCTGACCAGCCATCCCAGCTTTTTTGCTCTGATTCTCCCCAATACTTACTCCCTTCTGCTCCAGTTTTCTTATCTCCCTTCTCACCACAGGGCACTCTCATGCTACTTCTTCTCCATTCCTTACTCTCTGAGTGTCAGCTTGCTTCCTTCTTCCCCTCCAGGCCACACAGCTCTCCTTTGTTCACTGCTGCTTCCCCATTCCTCAGACACACTCCTCACTGTCAGCACAGTAGCTCTCCTGGTTGTCTTTGTTAATGTTGTCTTCTGTCATGGCATCTTGAAAGCCAGATTTATATTTGGAAGTAAAGTCTCGGCCAAAATCCGCAATGTGGAATAGATACCATTTTCAGTGAATTTCGTTGGCAAATTTTAACAGACCTCTACGTTTTTTTTTAAACACACATAAGGCAATTTTAGGAAGTGAGAAAATCAGGGAAAAAAATGAGGACGGCAAAAGACATAATCTGCTGGATGAGGGAAGGTGTTCCCAAATTAACATTGGTACAAACACATACTGAGAGTACTCCCATGTCTCAAGACTCACTTGTAGCCTGGTGCCTTATGCAGCCCTACTTTCAGGCTCAGACTGCTTCCAGATACCCAGTGAAACTCAAACCCATGGCCACAAGGAAAAGCAGAATTCCTCGGGTAAGCAGCAATACTTTGTAAAAAATCTATCAGTGCTTCAAGCTTTTTCTCAGAAAAACTGCGCAGGTTTTGATGGATAAATTTCAAATAACTGAATATAGATCAATTCAGGTTAGTGTTAAATTTTGGTTAGTTTATGGCAAGCATAAATACTGAAAATTTTCAAGAAATTTAAACATAGGTGTTATTTCCAAGCCTGCATCTCACACAAGTCTGAATATGATTTCATGTGTGGAAGTATATTAGTTATATAAATCCTTTGTAATATATTCCTGTCAACCATGAATTCTAAGCATTTATGCAATGGTTTTCTACAGTAAGAACTGTAACAGAAACTGAATAGAATTAAGAGACCAGGACTAGGGTGAAAGTGTGGGAGAGAAAGGAAAAGGAAAAGGAAAAGGAAAAGGAAAAGGAAAAGGAAAAGGAAAAGGAAAAGGAAAAGGAAAAGGAAAAGGAAAAGAAAGATAAGAAAAGAAAAAGGGAAGGGAAGGGAAGGGAAGGGAAGGGAAGGGAAGGGAAGGGAAGGGAAGGGAAGGGAAGGGAAGGGAAGGGAAGGGAAGGGAAGGGAAGGGAAGGGAAGGGAAGGGAAGGGAAGGGAAGGGAAGGGAAGGGAAGGGAAGGGAAGGGAAGGGAAGGGAAGGGAAGGGAAGGGAAGGGAAGGGAAGGGAAGGGAAGGGAAGGGAAGGGAAGGGAAGGGAAGGGAAGGGAAGGGAAGGGAAGCAATTAGATATACAACAGAAATTATTTGCACCTGTATTTATACAGTTCCCTAAGCATCTACATTAGACTGACAGGGATAGTACAGATTGTGATCAGCCTTGAGTGTGACCCATTCAGAGATATTTCAGGTGTCACTCAGTAGGGGGAAGGCATATTATTATTCAGATTCACCATGGAGTGTTTTCCTGAATAAAATTCTGGAAGGAATATTAAGCTTTGCAATCAGCCCAGAATGAATTAAATAGCCTTTGCACTGCAGTATAGACATTGCACATGCAGTTTTTGAGTGATATTCTCACAAACCAGCTCATTTCAGTTATATTTCTAAATACTTGTTTTGTTGGGAAAAAAAAAGGTGAAGGGAAGGGTAACATATGCTAGCAGTGTAGTTTTCTCCCAGTCCTAATTAGTGGCTATTTGAGAGCTTCCATCTTACTCAAAGCCTGGAAGAAGAGCACACACATATCACTGTATTATCTATGCAGTACAGTAATTTCAAACTCTAGACTGGATCCTTTAAACCTACTTTGTCTTCTGGATGATATCATCATCTTTACCTGTCCTTCTCTCTTTATTACAGTGATTTCAAAATTTATTTCTTAAACTGAAAATATTTTTAGAGAGCTAGTAACCTAGGAATCAAAAAAACCCACAGTTAATCAAATATTCATTTCTCAGTTATAAGAATTTTTAAAATAGCCTTACTGTAATAGAAAGATTACTCTAGAACAAAAATATAAGACAAGAAGAAGGGAAAAGTTCGGTGTTACCCACAATATCTAACCTGAGAAATTGGTCATCTTGGAAATTTCAATCCTTCGTAATTCTGAGAGCAATGCGTGAAGGTTTTATTGGAGTTTGAAATCTGATAGATATCTTATGAATATAGAATTAACCAAAGGTTCATAAGTAATGTGCATTTAAATTAATCAAATTGAACCTCTAGAAATTCTTTACTGTCTGACAAAATAATCAAATTCTACCTCCATAAAGGGCTATTTTTTTTTATGGGACAGGATGTTAACTGAAAGGGCTCACTCAGAAAATGAGTCACACTCAGATTAGTAACACTCTGCCTAAGACTTGTCTTGCACTGGGAAAGTTTTTATTTTCTTTTTTGTTTTTGGGCACTGTGAGCAGGAAAAGTCTTCCACAAAATTTGTTCGAAAGTGACATGTTATATTAAGGCTTAAGAGTCTTAAAAGCATATTACAGGACGACTAAAGATCACATATAAATAATACACCAAAATAATTTTTCTGTTTACCAGTTGAACGTATAGATAATCAATGCTTTACATACAAATAATTTTAACATAAAAACCTGATGGAAAAATATATTTACTGTACACTACTACTGTGCACTTTAGGAGGTCTCCACTGAATTTCTAATCCTTTAACATAATTTTAATAAAAACTATGAATTCCCCATTCCAATCTTTTGCTGATTAACTCTGAGCAAATGACACAGAGTTCAGAAGAGAATATTATTATAAAGGAAGCAACCCTTACAGCTTTGTAGCGCCTTATGGAACATGAAAAACATTTCAACCAAGTCAGATCTACGAAAGTCACCTTGCATAGGCTGAGCATCAGAAATAAAACATGAACTGCAACCTTTAAAATATAGAGTATCATTGAAAAATAATATCCTCTAAATAATATTCTTGTATTAATATACTTTCTGATATAGGCTGAATGATACTGTTTTAAGGCAGCCTTTAAAATTGCAATGTGCACAGATATGTCTCAGAGTATTCAAATTTCTTAGTAAAGTTAGACTTAGTCTCCTCCCACAGTCTTAAGTCAGAAGGAAGTCATATTAACCAGAATAGTACTTCTCTAAAATTTTTGATGGCCCATAGTAAGACTGATTCAAGATATTCTTCATTGACAAATCAACACATCTGGGGAAATCAATTTTTATTTTTCTATTGTTAAATCTCAACAATATTTAACTATATAAATAGAAATATTTATATCTCCCTCTTCGTATTTGCTATAAAGTTCACTGTGTTGCTCATGAAGGTGGACTAGCAAAATAAAAACCAGTGGCCAAAATAGTAAAAAAAGTCTCTTTATTGCTAAATGGGCATTAAATATTTATCTACTTCATTGATGTGATTTAGATATTCCTTATCTTGTTGTCCTTTCTTACAACACCTTGTCAAGAATGTTTCAGGAATTCCCGATAAAATATTCTTTATTTTTTCTCTCTTTCTTTTGAATGCTTCAACTGCTGCAATTCTCATTGAAGATAAAATAAAAAGAAACAACATTTTCACTATTAGAGCTAATCACAACAAATAAGCTCAGTTTATGGATATAACCTTCATTTTTCCCCAAATTATCAGTATTATAAACTCTGCAGAGTCAAATATATTTTTTATTTTTGTCCAGTCCTTCATTCTCTAATTTTATTGCTATTAAGAAAGAGCTTATGCAAGCTAAATTAGACTCTAATTTATACATTCTAAAATTCTGTTTTGAAAGACAAGTTGATATTGCTTCCAATAATAAATAATGTTTACTGATATTGCTTTTAGTAATAAATAATATTTACTTTATTTTGGGTTTAAAATGTAAATAAATAGGGAATAAATTCCCATTTTTTAAAGTGCATTTGACCAATTTAGGATTATAATATTTTTTAACACATTGTATGACATTAGAATAATTTGGCTGACCTTGGAAGTTTTTAGGTAAATATATTGCATAAATCTAATAAACTCTGTCAGTAATTTGCTCATAAAGAGTTATCAATTTTAACAGAAAATCTGAGAGCATCTATATAAACATTTTATTTCTGTGCTTCAACTTCTCATTTTAGAGCTAGTATTAAATTTCAGATTGTTTTGTACGTAATAGTCTAATCTCATGCTATACAGTATTTAAATTACTTTCATTAAGAGTTTTTTAATTCTTGGAGAAGTTATTTTCAGTTGCTTTGAAATTAAAGCAAAAAATTGTCCTCAATTGTTCCTATTTCCAGTTATCAGCCTTCTAGGAGAATTAGAAGTATCAGCTCCTCAAATCACTAACAAATGTCAACATGCAAAATGAAGGTGGAAACATAAGAAACCAAAATTTTACAGTAAAACATGAAGATCAGCATTTTATCTTTTTACCTCCTATAGGTCATATGTATTAAAAAAATGTGTGAATGGCACTGTTCATCATATATGTTGTAACGTTGTGTTATAGAGCAGGCATGTTTGTGAAACACTGCAGGGTAGAGATATCTCACCTTTGGACAAGAGGAAAAGAGTTTGGACATAAGACATATTGAAAAAATGATTTATGAAAGATGTTTTATCAGAACATGTCTCTGTTCTATGTAAAAATATTACCTTTAATTTTCTTTCATTTATTGGTATCAACATAATATGTCTGAACGATAAGCGTAATTGTTTTCTCCCTGTCTTAATGGTAACACCTACTAGTTGCTATTGACATAAACAATGTGTCAAGTCCAATACAAGCACAGAAAAAAAGGTCGGTTCTTTCCACAAAGGTTTACACTCACACTATAAAATAGAAAATAACCTGTGAAATACTGCTACAATATACTTTGCTGAGAATTGCAAAATCCTTTTTTTCCCTCGAACTAAATGGTGAAATAAAAGGTTAATAATGAGACCTCTATTATTATTTTTGATACTAATTATTTTTGGTTTTGTTATAACCACTGCTGCTGCTACTACTATTTAAGCCTATATATAGCAGCTCACTAAAATAAACATTAATTGCAAACAAGGAAATGCTGCACATCCACAGTAACACATTAGCAATAATTTGTGTCCACCTGACCTACAGAAGGAAATGGATTTCTTATATATGGTATGTCTGCTCTGCTACTAATAGGAAAATCAGATATTCTGAGTTCTTCAGAAGGAGCAGTATGGCATGTATTGATCAGTATACCATGGTTTAAATGTTGACAAAGGTTTAAATGTTTTGAATTCTTAAGTTCATGCTGCTAGTGCGGCAGTTTTAGTATCAAGGAGGTTGTATATTTGTACTTAGAGGAGGTAAACTGGCATTTATAGAGGTATCTCTTAGTAAAACTGGAACATACTGACTGGAATAATTTCTGTGGGCAGTAAGGTTTTAAGTGTGCTCTACTCCCTCTGGGTCAGGCAGAGACTTTAATTATCCAGCTGTTAACTTTTCTAGCAGATATAAACAGACTCCAATTAAATTGTTAGTCAATCTGATAGTGTCTGTCCAGATACATAAGGATAATTTGTTCTCTTTTCTTACTCTGTTCTTCCAGACTTGGAGTCATGAACTGAGCTCGTCAACGTGAATCCCAGAAGCAGAAATACTTGTCCTTTTGCCATTATCTAATAAAGTATTGTGTAACCTACACATTGTTTCTGCTTTTACCTACCTTAAATTAGCATTATTACCTGACTGCTTTATTTGATTTGTTCCTTCTTTTTGTCTGACTTCACTATAGTAAGCTACAGGAAATAATAATTGCTGTTTACATAAAAACCAACATTTGCTTTTACCCATCTTTCAAACTTGGAAATTTTCTTGAATCTGCAGAGAGTTTGTGCAGCTTGGTCTGTTGTATTCCAACTGCTGATGACGGAGAGTTATTCCTCAATTTATTGTAAAACCTATTGTAATACTTATGTACCTACTGAGGAAAAGTAAGGAACGATGTTTAAAGAGGTTACTGGTGACGTTGGTGCTGCCACTGATATTTCTGGACTGAGAATTTGCAAGCTTACAAACTCCTGAAGGAATAAGTTGGAGAAAGAGTAGGAGCTCAGAGAAGAGACTGTTGCCATCAGAGGAAAGATTATGGATTTATTTATTCTTTTACAGAAGAAGTATTTAACTTTCTTCGGACATGATTTAGACAATAAACAAGAGCATAGGGATCAGTAGTATTTAAAACAGGAACTTTGTAAATGGCGGAGAAAGTGCTATAATCTTCTTCCAGATCATACTAAATGACAAGAAGTAAAAAACAAGCAGATCTTTCAAGAGCTACATCTGACAGAACCAGGGAGACTTCCTGGTCAGAAACAGGTAATAATTAAAAGGTGGGCAAACCCACAGAATCTCACCAGATCTTATGCTGGACTACATATATTGCTCTTCAGTCTCCTGGAATCAAAATGAAAGCTCATAGCAGACAGACAGAAAGGATCTAGGAGAGAAGAGAAGCGTGTGGTCTTCCATGGCAGGAAAAAGTTCAAAGACTTCAAAGGTTTGGGCATGACCGAAGCTGAGAAAGAAACAGGAGGTGGTTCCCACAGTGGTGGGACAGTCTTTGAGAAACCTGTTGGTACGTGTATGATGGATAAAAGCCTGAATGACCACACCAATTTCTGTGCAAGAGAGGTTAATTTGAAGATAAGCACAGTTGCCAGCTTTTGTGCATGTGAACAGTACATTCAGAAATTCATTCCTGTGTTTTTAGGAATATATATTAGGAAGGACAGTACTAAAAATGGAAACAAAGTACTCTGGGGTTCTAAGTGGATGGGGAAAAAAACATCAAATGAAAACAACTAGGATAAAAATGTCTGAAAACAATCTGAAATGGAAAAAGTATTACCCTTTCTATGGATATATGCAAATAGCCAAGAGGTTAATGTTAATTTAGATTTATTATAAATATGGAATATGATAACCTTGTTAAGGATATGTTAGTAATTACTATGGGATCAATTCTTACTTTCTTAGTTGGAGGAAGCAATGCTTTTCTCTTTGAAGAGACTTGGTAAGGCCTGGTCCTTCACTGTTCTGTTTTAACTCAATTATATTTTATTCTAGCTGAAGCAATATATCTGCACTTTTGAATTTTTTTCATACAATATTCCTTTGGACATGGGTTTAAAATTAATTGAGATTCACATACACACAAGTAGTCTTGCAGAGACTGAAAAGTGAAGGAAAGTCTACATTATTAGATAACAGAAAGAAAAACAGTATTAAAATAATGAAGCTACATGGCACAAAATGCAAGGGACAAGGATTGATCACAGCCTTTATTAATGATGCTTAAGAGGATAATCACTAGCATCAGCTACTCTTTCCAACAATTTAACTAGGATGGAGAAGGGAAACAGAAGTGTTTGTTTCTATTCCAATTGGGTACTAGTGTAAAGTCACTGCATGAAGAAAAAAAATCTTCCAAGAAACCGGGAGAGGAAGAAACCTTAAACAAATTAGAAAACTAAGATAAGTTAAATCAACTGAATTAATCCATATTTGTGTAGGCTAAATAAAGCACTTTAGAACAAAAGGTGTATAATAGAAAACTACTGTGTTACTTTCTTGAAATGCAAATTTTGGCTGGCAGTGCTGCTGTAATAAATACATTCCTCTTCTGGCTGTGGAGTTGTCTTTCTGTGGAGTCTGAGGCACAAATGGGGCAGAGAGGCTGTGGGGAGCAATCAGGCCATGAATAAAGGCTGCAGAGTTTGAAACTTCTTTTCTTCCCCCTCAAGGCATCTATTTTTATTTCTCATTTACTTGTCTAGTGCCTCAGAGAAGGTGCAGACAGTATGCTTAGTATATCAAAGCACGATCTGTCTGTGTTTTAATAATTACACTGTCTCTTGTAAAATAACTTTACAGTCGATTACAGAGTTCTGCCTTCAGACAGCTCTGCTCTGCTCCTCCCTCTGCTCCTCCGTGCAGAACCTTCACAGCTTGGTGGGAATGGCTCCGTATCACAGAGGTGCCCCTCACTTACTGCAAGAGGGAGCAGGAATAACTTCAGAGGTCAAACATGTAATACTTTCTCAGTGTGCTTTAAATACGAAATTTCAAATAAGACATTGATCCTGACTCCAAAGAGCATTTTGGAGTCTGAGGGCCAGATTTAATCTAATCTTTCTACTCATTTAAGCACGAGGTTCTCTGACAACAGCAGGACTCACAACAAATGACGAAGACTAACAGGGGCAAGGGATCTTCCTAGTAAAAAAAAAAAAAAGCCACAAAAACTGATGAAATAAATAAAAATTAATAAAGACATGGTGCTCTTATATGCTGACAGTGTCTTCTTTAGAGCAAACTCTACAGATCCATACTCACAGCAAGAATTTTATCGTCATGAAGGCATTATTTTATCGCTTTCTATATGATGTGTCTACACTAGATTTTTGCTACCTAAGTAGGGAAAATCAAGGAATTAATCACTGAATTATGATAGCACAGATAGTCTCCCAGAGCACTACTCTACAAATGCTGAACAAATTCATTCTGCTATAAAAGCAAGTTATCTTGTTTAAATGCATTATCTTTGATGCTGCAGTATTTCAGGAATATAGTCACAGAGAAAGAATTCTCATATTGCATTTTTTTGTCAATTTGCAATCTAAGTATTTATGGAAAAGCACGATTTATGCATCATGTGCATATAAATGTGAAAATGGTAATGCATTTACATTCTTCAAATTAAAAAAAATGTAGTCAAAGTTTCATAGGGCTAGATCATTTCATTGAGATATGCAATGTAAGAAGCAGTTTACATTACTCACAGGACTGAACACTGTGAAGACTGTATAGATTTAGGAAATATCAGGAACATCAATCAACATAATTTCTTTTAAGTCTTTTCTTAAGAAAAATAGAGCTAAAATATATTACTTCAGCACTAAGAGCAGATATTATAAGGCACATTAAAAACATTTCAAGAAAAGATTAATATCTACCCAAACTAACCAAAGCCACAAAACAGTTATTTGTTTAAGTATTTCATCACCTGTCACAGAACAAAAAGATATTTTTTTAACCAAAACATTAAAAAAATGCTACTCATATATACTTAATCAGGATAAAACATGCACTTCTTAGAAGCATATGAAGCCATTTGCATCTTTGTACACTTTTGATTGGGAAGAGATTCATTATATTACTACAATCAGAAAGAAGGTGGCTGCTGGTGGAACTACCATTAGGTGCGGAGCATGTTGAATTTTCCCACCAAAAATACTCATATGTCACTTTTAGCTCCTAGAATGATGATCTTTCTTTTTGTCTTAGTGTCACCATAAATTGGTGACAGGACAGTAATAATAGCTAATAGTAGTCTTTTGAGCTGACATCTGTCACATTTTCTGCATAGCTGTTCCTCCGAGTTTTCCATAAGGACCAGCTTTGACCAACATAAGCTTTCTGTTCCTTTTTAAATATTCTTAAGATTACTTAGCTTCCTGTATTTGAATTAGTATCTTATATTTGCAGGGTAAGTGTACATATAAGTACCAAATGAGAAAACAGATTGATTTGGATAAGGCCTGTGAAGATAAATGTTGCTAAGAACAGAGATCCTCAAAAATACCTGTTCTGTGAACAAGACAGCAGCACAGGAGTCTTGCTGTTCCTTGGGTATTTATAGCAAATTATTCACAAAGTGTCTTACCAGGGCCCTTTCTCTGTGTTTCTCAAACCCCAGCCGCTTTCCTGGCCAGCGCCAGCCATGCCAGCATTAACTTCCAAACACCATGACAGCTGGAGCACACACCCAGCATGGTTTTATGTAACCATACGTAATACTGGCAAATATGTCAAAAGATACAATTTCTGTATCAGTAGAAGACATCAATTCTTGATGTTGTATTTTAGTGTCCCATTAAATTTAACTGCCTTAGTTTCTTTGGGATTTTCCTCTTTTGGAGCAGGAAGAAATCTTGCACAGAAAAGCCTCTGGTATAGAAATTTCAGTTTTAATTGAGAAAACTGGCTGTCAGTTAGCTGCCTGCTTTCTCTCTTTTTAGCTTTTCTTCCATTTCGGCTTTTGCTATGTGTCAGAGAAAGATAATTTCCTTCAATTTTAAAAATTAGATTACAATTTTAATGTAGTCCAGTAAAATTCATTACATACATACTTTCTTTATGTTGAAAAACAGTAAGAAAAATTATGTGCTTTGGAAAAAATTTAGATAGTAGTAAAGAAATAGCAAAAAGAATCAAAATTCATCCTTGACATTGGACGTGCAGAGAAACTGTTGTGAGTGTTCTATGCCAGAGAAAAATGGAAGCATGTATAAAACAAAATTTTAAAAATTTCAATTTTCCCTAATAGTGCTGCAGATTTGCAGCTTGCCTTAATCAAGGCTTAAGCAGATTTCACTTGACTAAATCTGACATTATTATTCAAAAACAATGCTAAATACGAATGACATTTGAATTCTTCCAGCACTTTTGGCTACGGACTTTGTTCTGCACCCCTAACTCTAAGTGCCCTAACCAAAGCATCTTAATTAAGAGGTTAGTAGCTCTAGGCTCCTTTGCAGTCTTGAGAGACAAGGATAGACTTTTCTGGGACAAATTACACCATAGGCAGATGCTATTTTTTTATAGTAGACTTTCTATATAAGTTCATTTTGGAAGAGTTTCAGATTTACCACCTGCTAGGTCTTACTAAGCAGGTGGATGTGGATGTCAGTGTTGCTTGCTGCTTCTTATTCTGGTCTCCAACACAACTGCTCAGCAATGCTATTGTGGGGGTCTATGCTACAGGGGAGGCAGACATTTGTATAAAGATAGGATTAATAGTTGAAGGCTTCCTACTAGATAACTAAAGTGACTTCTCTTTTCTTCCCTTTCACCTTTTTGAGGCACCTAATACTTCCCACAATCTGGGAGACCATAAACTCATCTTTAATATTCCCTGGAGGCCAGGTGGGAGTGGGCTATTCCAGCACCTAATATCTGGATGTCCAATCAGAATGTTGATATCCAATCTTGATGCAATCAACATCAGTGCTTTATATGTCAGGATGAAGGGTAAGAGAATTCTAACCACCAGAAATACTTTTTTTTTTTTTTTTCTGGTGGGATTATCATATTTCAGTGGGGTAGTAGAAAGCACATGTGATTTCTTAAGGGACTAGTTTAGTACTCAGTACAGTAGCACGCCAGTCAGTCAGTCAGTCTTCTCTTGATGGAAGTGAATTTCCTTGGAGGGCTCTCACTGGGATTATTTGTGGTATTTGTTTTCATTTTAAAATATAATCTTACATCAATATTTTCTATCATTTCATATGAACAGGAATTACACTAGTAATAACTAAGCCCGCTTTTTAGACTCAGTTTCCTGGGAGATGGGAAAGATAAAGCAAAAAAAAAGGGACCCTATATGACTTCTGTAGTGACCCTGTCCTTGACAGGGAAGGTGTCACAGGGAAGATGGAAGGGTCATAGATGTAATTTATCTGGGCTTTAAAGCCTCAGATATGATCAGATATACAACATCATTCTCTCTAAACTGGATGGGTTCTATGAGTGGACTGTTAGATGAATAGGAAAGTGGTTGGACCATCACATCCAGAGGGTCATGGTCAACAGCTCAGCATCCCAATAGACATCAGTGACAAGTGGTGTCCTTCAGGGATCTGTATTGGGACCTGTGCCATTTGCTATCCTCATTAATGGGACACGTGGGGGTATTGAGTGCAACCTCAGCAAGTTTGAAAATGGCATCAAACTGAGGGAGCCATTGACACACCTGGACGATGGGATGCAATCTGGACGGCCTGGACAAGCTTGAGAACTGGCCCATGGGAACCTCATGTTGTACAGAAGATAAAGTATAAGGGGCTGCACCTGGATTAGGGCAACCCCCAGTGTAAACTCAGGATGAACAGATCAAGGGTAGCCCTGCCCAGAAGGACTTTGGGGTGCTGGCGGGTGAGAGGATGCACATGAGCTGGGCATGGGAATCTGCAGCCCAGAAAACCAAAAGCATCTTTGCTGCATCCAAAGCACTGAGGACGGAAGGGTGAGGAAGGGGATTCTCCCCCTCTGCTCTGTTGGGATTCCACCTGCAGAGCTGCCTACAGCTCCGTGGCCTCCAGCGCAGGAAGGACATGGAGCTGTTGGAGCCAGTCCAGAGGAGGCCAGCCAGATGATCAGAGGGAGGGATCACATCTTGGAGAAAAGGCTGAGAGAATTGATACTACTCAGCC